GTAGCTCCGTTAATATGGAGAAGGCTTTGTGGGAAATTTGAGAAATCAAGTGTGGGGTCCTGAATACACAACAGTTGAAGGGGTGTTTGATGAGATAGGTTACTACCCCTACATCATAGAGAAATGGGTCAAGTACCTCTTTACAGTCACATGCAAAACGTAGGGGTAGGACTAAGGGGTGAATTGGGACAGTCCGGTAATGTAATGACCCACAATTATTTTTTAAGAACACTTTCCTCCAAACTAAGGAGCCAGCCTCTGTATTAAAAAGAGAACATACATTCACTTTGTTAAGCTTTATATAAGTAAAAGTAGTAGATTAGTCTGGATTAGTTTGTTTTGTTAACCAGTGGGGGTAAACTTTGCACCAGCAGCAGTGTGGTCAGAGCGTAGGTTAGATATTTGTAGTCTGTGTAATTTTATTTACCTTGATTGGAAAGTAAGGGCACATTTGTGACACTTCTGTTGTTTTGGGTATTGCTCAACTCTTAAGTTAATAAAACTGCAACTTGACAAACTTCTACCTTTCTTGGAATTGGTAAGAGTGGAAATCTAAAACAGTTCATGTTTCTTCTCAACCAGAGGCATAACAATGGACTGCTTTTTATTATGTTAAACATTTATCATTTTAACTGCAAATTAATACTTTAGCTCAATCAAAGGCAGTTTAATCCACATGAATGGTCTTTTAGAATACAGTTTTCTTTTCTTTCCTCTAACAATTATCAGAACATCACATCGGACATTTTAGTTGTTGACAGATTCTCGGTGAGGACCCTCTTTTTAATACAAACCTTCTCCAGCATCATTTCACAATGTGCAGTGGAAATGTATTTTTTTTTAAAGGCAGCAAAGGGCATTCAAAGACAAAAAGCATGACTGTCACACCAGAAACTGGGGTTTGAGTCTAGACTCACATCTGTGGCTTGGTTATGGTTGGTGAAAGATTGTGGTTGTTGTTATGTTTAGGAACTCACAGCACTTAGTTTAGTTAAAGAGTGTGTTGTAGTATATAATGAAAAAGTCTATGAACTTATTTACTCTGGACTCTTAACTTTTGCTTCTTTAGTGTTTTCATTTTGATTATGGACTCTTTGTGTATTGCATTTATGCCTGTGGTTATGTTTGGATTTGTGTTCTGTTCTGTTCCCTGAGTTCTATTTCCTGTTTTATTTTGTAGTTTCTGCTCCTTGTGTGTTTTCCCACCTTTACTTCCTGCCATAGTGATCGTCTGCACCAGTTCCTCATGTGTTTCAGCTGTGTCCAATTTCCCCTGCCTCCAATGTGTATATAAGTCTCTGTGCTTCTCTTTGTCTTGGTCAGTTCATCCTCTCACGTGGTCGTTTCGTCACCCGTCGTTGTTTGGCCTTCATCATCCCTACCTCGTAAGTTCCTCCAGTCTAGTGTTCCCTTGGTTATTTTGAGTTTTTGGATTCCAGTGCTTTTCTGTTTATGGACTTTATTGGCTCTTGTTTTTTGTATCGAACCCTATCTTATTAAAGGACACTTTCAGTGAAAAAATGTTTGTCTCTGCATCTTGGGTCTTCTGTTTCACCCTAAAAAATTCATACTGTGCTTCTGTATTTTTAGCTTTAATCATTAATTCACTCATTAATGGCACAGGCCATCAGGGGCTGAGTTTTACCCAAGGACGCTTCGAGTGGTACCATGGGTTGTGTCTCCAATCTCACATTAGTGAACGACCTGCTCTAAGTGAGGAGGGGAATTTATACATAACACTGAGGCTGCATCCATACTGTTATGATTTTATTGATAAGCACTGCTGACCCTGTTGTCTTTGCTAACAGCTGTTGTCCTGTTAAATTCTACATTTGAATGCTACAACCTCTTACATGCAAAGGAGACAAGCAGTCTGTTTCCCAGGGAATGCGTATGTCCAGTTTACATGAATTTCATGTTATATGCAAAAGTGAAATGAGTTTTGAAATGAAACGTAGCATGACTGTAGCCTGAGAATGCCCTCGATGTGTAGTACAAATAAACAAAAGGTAGCTGCAGCACCATCTGCACCCCTACCTCCTGTGGGCTTGTGGAGGTGTATTAAATATACATGTGCATGTGTGTCTGTCTTATGAAACCTGTGTTTACGGCTTAAAGTCTTTTGAGCTTAAAGCAAAGTCACAGATCCAGATGAACATGTGCAACAATATACTGTGTGAAATTGTTCATTGGTTAAAAACTACAGATGGGGAAGGATACTTATGTACAAAGGTCTTTAATAAACAATAACAAAATGCTTAGCTCTTTATCCTCCAACTGTGCTGCTGCGGCTGCATGGATTAGTGTATATGGATATTGCCGCTCCCTTATGAGTTCAGTCAAACTAACATTTTTTTTAATTTCCTTCTAGCTACACTGCTCACGATTGTGTAATGAGTGGTTCTCCATGAGGCGAAGCAAATTGTGAGTGGCGCTATATCACGCTCATTAGTGTTCAACATAGGGAGCTAATTACACATCTCTTTGCTAACATGCAAACTGAACACATGCTTGTCGAACATGCATATACAGCTAATTTGTTGTGTGTAAGATGGCTTTTATTTAGGCAAACAAGGAGTTAAACCCATCAGTTATGATCCTCATTAAAATCTAAATCTGATGTATTCAGTTTTCAGTTCAGCTGACCATACAAATTGCCACATCAATGTTTAGGGGAAAAACAGCTGTATCAATTGCAGGACAATAACGAGAGCTGTGATGGGGAGGCAGAAATAACCAGCAGCAGCAGCATCCCCGCTGGTCCCTTTCTTTGGTATGTTGTTATTCAAGATGTGAGAAAGTTGGCAGATAGAAGGAAAAAAAGAAAAGCCAAGCTTCCTATTAAAAAGCCCTGTAAATGGAAGGCATCCGAGGAAGAGTTTAACATTGGTGGCAGCGTTGGTGAGCTTTTTCGCTGTCCCAGCAGCATGTCATAGAGAGAGGTGGATCTCGTCAAAAGCTAAAAAATTGATGGCGCTCTTTGCATTTGCGAGTGCGTTTTTAAACCTGGAAAGAGCCAAAGAGGAGAGGATGGGAGGGATGTAAGCCTGGGAGCAGGGAGGGGGGGTAGAGAAAAGAGAGAAAGAGGCAGGCACAGAACAGGAGAATGAAGGTTTCTTCAGGTTATATTTGGGGTCTCTGTGACAGCTGAATTCCCTTTGCTCTCTATTCTTCCAGGCATCATGTATCAGTCTCAGCTGCCAGTGTTGAGATAGAAAAGGCAGCTGATGAAGAGAGGAACCTCAGACAGCCTCTGCTTGAGCTACACAGCCACCAAAACCATTTGAGTGTTTTTTTTTTTTTTTTACAGTGGATCAGGAAAAGAAAACACCCCTGTGTGCTGAAATCAGAAACATTTCTCAATTTCATGTGCTGGAAATAAGATCCAATGCTCTTGTGTCCTCCATCTGTTCAACACAACTCAAATTTGCATTTCTTATCTAAAAAGAATCAGCAGTATTGATCTCTTTTTTATGATACAAGCTCTGTTTTGCCCAGAATTCAATCAATTCCTATATAAACATCTCAGTTCTAGGGGTTTTTTTCAGCTTGTAATGTGGATCGATAAGTGCAGTCAGATTAGATGAGGTCTCCAAGGCACAAGTATTACTGTGCTCCAGAGAATTTCCAATTCGAACACGGAGGTCTGCGCTCTACACCTGTCGACGCTTATCCATAAATGGTGTGCATAGATCCGGATAACTTATGCACACACACATTAGATATATGCCCCAGTGTGTTTTTAACAAGGGATGTCACAGGAAGGAGCAGCAGCTCCTCACCTCAGGACATGCAGCTCTGGTAGAAGGCAGCAGCCTGTTTCATGTCTGCATGTAGCTGGAGTCAATTTATTTAGCGTGACTGCTCTCCCCTTCTGTCTACACCTTCCTCTCTATATTTCACCTTGTGAAGTGTGTGTGTGTGTGCTCACTATTATTGAACACCATCAATAATAAATATTCTACTGCCTTAATACTCTGTTCTGTTGTATTGTTTCTGAATTCTTGACATTCATTCTGAAAAACAGCCATTATGACACATAGTTTCTGCAAAGCTACTTTTGAAAGCTCATAATAGGTCAGTTTACCCGAATAACCTCCAGTGACGCATTTTCATTGAAAAAGTTTTGCCTAAAGTTGTTCATGGTCTGTTATTGAAGCTTTATTCTCCAACAAAATGGACCTTTTGAGAGGAACTAACAAAAGTAGCAATTTATTCATCATTGGAAATTTGTGAACTTGGAGAGGTCTGTTAAGATTAACTTGTTTCTTTTAAGTTAGTCTTGAAGAGTCTAGGATCTAAAGCAGATGTAACATAAATACTGGAAACAGGGTGAAACAGCTGGCCTGGCTGTGTGCAGAGTTACAAGTCTGACTGATGAAAAGACTGAAGGAAGTTCCTGCACCGTCCCCAGTAAAACGCAACTCTTTGTTAATGCAGCCCTTATGTTAAAGGTTACGCAAATGTCAAAAAGGTCTTAGGTGCAGGTAGCTGGCTTCTCCAAGCTAACTTGTTTCATATACAGATGTGAGTGTGCATATTTTTTTGTATCTAACTCAGCAAGAAAGCAATTAAGAACATTCAAATATCCACTTAGTTTATTAGCTACAGTGAGCTGAAAGTAATGCAATCATTTTACAGAAACATCTCTAATGCAGAGTACATCCTACAAATTATGGTTGAATTGACAACTCTCCAAAACAATGCCATCAGAATATTTATATCACAACAGGGTTGTAGAAAACTTTAGTTATGTAATGACGAGTGTGTATTGCAAGGACAACCCAAGTGCTTTACTGAAATTGATCCACATATGAGCAGCAAAGAAAGAAAGGTGGCATCTCCATTCTTAGCTTTCACTCTTGGGAAAAGCAAGTAATCCAAAATGGTAAATGGTTTGCATTTATAAAGTGGTTTTCTAGTCTCTCAACCACTGAAAGCACTTATCAATGTGTAGTACAGTCACGCTAATACACAGATGCTGAATTGCTGTCTTACAGACACTATGGCTCACTCTGGAGGACAAGAGGACAAGATGAGTCATGTTGCCAGCCAACCTGGGACTTTCGCATGGTTCACACTGGGTGAGCACATTTGATAGGTATCTTGGACAAACTGTACTGATCCTGTGAGAAATTGGCAGCCATTTTCTTCATCTGGAAAGATATACTGAGGCGCTGGGGTACTCACAACCCTGGCAGCAGCACTGGGAATCAGCTGAAGCTGTCTGATTGCCATCGTATAGGCCTGTGAACAGTGCATTGTGGTAGTTCAGCCTGCCAGAAATGAAAGCATGTACAAGTTTCTCTAAATGGTGTTGTGATATCAGTTCAGTGCCTTCAATATTTACAAGCTGAATAATGTGAATATTGAAAAGTTGTTCTGAATCCAGGTGAGGACAGGCTGTTAGCAGATACTTTATCTTTCCTCATTGGGCTCAGTTTTGTCATTTATCTGAACACCTCTCGTTTATCCAACCGGACATTGTTGCTCCGACCAGGTTTCTCATTCATCCAATCACATGCTGTATATCCAACCAGATATTTTGTCATTTATCTGAACAAGATCTTGGATCCAGCCATGACTTTGTTGGTCAGAGGTTGCCTTTTGCTTTATTCAGTAGATATAGTTATGTATTTGTATATTTTCATGCCATCTCCATATATGCTATATGAAAATCTGAATATTAAATAATTCTAGCTCCAGGGGGTTGTTAAGATTAAATTATAAGTCTGAGAATCCATCCTTGTGGAACCCCACACTCAGGTGTACAGCTAAAATAGCATGACGTAAGATTTAACCAGGTCCAGACCATGTTAGAGACACCAACCAGCATTCAAGTCTGTCTGTTAATGTGCTAGTTATGATCAGGTGGCTAAAAGAAAACCTAAAGTGAAGTGAGTGGACTCAAAATAATGTGATGAGGTGAGGGTGAGGTGATGATTGTAAGTCAACCCAGTCTCCATCGCAGTTTAAACAGTCCCTTTTCTGCCAGTAGCTTAGCTGCGTCATTGTAAATCTCAATCATGGACCCATGAAATATTAATCATTGACAAAACTTGTTAGTGGCGGGAAGTGCATGCACTCAAGTAAAACAAATATGTATCCTGTTATTTCTCAATATGTGTTTGTTGTTAACCAACTGGCAGGAAAAGTAAAACGCTGATGCAGTTTCAAGAGTAGACTTGTTGAGATCTCCAAAAACAAATAGAAAATTATTCATTGCAATGGCTAAGTGAGAAAGTATTTTTTTGTAATTTGCATGAACTGGCCCTTTCATTTTGATACTTCAGTCATTTATGCTGTTTTCTATGTTTGGTATGTCACCATCTGCCAACTCATGCTCAGACATTGTCGGGTGTGCATACAGGCACATGGGGGCCATATACAGGTCTCTCTTAATTTTCTTGATTTCTTTTTTTTCTTATTTTCTTTGGGGGGGCAGTGCGCTATTGCCCCCTATTGACCAGCTGCCCCTTGTTGAACCCTAGAACATCACTTCCCCCACTCTGCTTCTGATTACTGAGTAATAAAAGAACAAGGGTTGTTCAAAAGGAAAACGTGGTCGAATAGGGTTGAAGGGTATGAAGGCAGCAGCAGAGGCAGCCTGTTGGATGAATGAGATGGAGACCAGCTGAAGGCTGAGTGTTTATGGGATGGAGTGAAAGGTGTGAGCTGGGTTGCAGTGCTGTTGGTCGAAAGGGTCAGTAAACTGAGCTGGCACTGAGGACCTGTGAACCGCCGGGTTAGTGAGGAGCACAAGTATTACCACTGAGAAAGAGAGAACACAGAGTTGCACAAGAGAAGGAAATAAACCAACTCACACCAGGAGATGTGACATGTCTGTTATTCTCAGGACGAAATGACCAGAAACTGTGTTCGCAACAGCAGCTGGTGACTTCATCCAATTTGTAGGACACACAGCGTTGCTTTTTAACTGTTGAATTTATTCAAAGAACAATGCAGACTGTTGAGCTCTGCATCATTATTCAACCGTGGCTCCTCTTTACTCTCCACTCTTCCTGTTTGTGTTTCCCTCCATCTACCACACTTTCCATCCAGCAGGCTGGATTTGTCCCCGTTTCACCTGGTTGACTCCGTGTTGCTTGCACACCGCACCGTTAGAAGAACCTGTTGAGTTATGCACAATGAACACTGTGCGGTGGAGCTCGACCAGCGTGTGGAGAAGCTGTTTTCTGGGAAAATCTAGGATTTTAACAGTGACTAGAGTTTGCAACCATTACACAGAAAACCGTTTAGCACTGGGTTGTCTTGTGTTTACTTCTTGGATGTGCCTGTGTGTGTAGTTGTGCTAGACAAGAGCAAGTTGAGACAATGTCACCAATGAAACACAGTACTCTTCGTCAGCTCTTCCACTCAACATTCATCAATAAATCATTTGCAGGCTTTCCCTATTCTCATATACATGCACATATTCTTGTAGTACTCATATTCTAGTTATTATACACTTTACAGCAAATGTAGTTAAATCCATAAGGCATTTGGATATCACAATATTTAACTGGCAGTTGCAATAAGTCGACTTTTGGGGAATTATAGCCAAATTGTGTTTCCCTGTGTCCATTATTCATTTTTATTTAAAGCAAAGTGCATAGTGTGAACATCCAACCCTCTTTGGCTAGAGGTACAAATAGACCATGTCTGTGTTTTAAACCCTATGTAGTGAACTCATTCCTTTTTATAATGCATCGGGGAAAGTAGTGTACAACCGATGGTCACTTACCAAGCAATATACCACTATACCATCATGGATTGAGCTCACAGCGTTAAAAGGAGGGAAAATGGCAGAGAGATTAGAGGAGAGAGAGGGCAAAACATCTCAGCCTCTCTCTCTGGCGATTCTACTCCTTAATCTCATCAAAAATATCAGGTTATCGTGAGGATAGAGATAAACAGGTTTATATTTGCTGGCATTTTCGCAGACAAATTTTTAGTCCTTAATATTTCCAGTGGTGTAGTTTGTGTTTTTATGACACAAGACAAATCTGAGTTATGGCAGGGAAATATGTAAAGGCAGAGCAGTGCATCAGAGCCCAATGTGGCAAACAAGTTTACTCCTGCATTAAAAAAATCATTCAACATATTTGTTCCTTAAAAGTATAAAACAAAAGTGTCAAATTTACCGTGGGATTTCCTCCCGGCTGAATTCATAATCCTGCAAGAATTACATAGTTACAGGCAGAAAGTTATTGTTTTTATCCTATAGAAAAAAATCTATTTAATAGGTTTTTCCCATGGTGGTTTATATGGATGCGGGCTGTTTCCATCATGTTGGACACCTACCTGTACATCCAGTTGGTAAATCTCTTATCATCCACAGATCCAAAAAAAGTCACAAAGTGTGCTGAGTGAAATCTTGTGTGCATGCTCCACCATAAACAGAATTTAACCAGCAGCCTTTCTCATCACATGATACCGATGTAGCAGCTGTAGAAGGGGGCGTAAAAATGCAATCCCACCTTTAGGATTTCAGATACATTGGCATGATGGGCAGATCGTCTTGCTACGGACTTTAAATAAGGAGGTAATAATCTATATGATGTGATTAACCCCACCAGGAGAAAGAAGTATGAAGATAAGATTATGAAGCCTCCTTTGACAGCTGCTACATCTGGATGCCGAGAGGAGAATCACTCCCAGCAAAGCATCGGCCTATAATCGTCCCAAAGCACGCACAGCCAGATATCTGACGTCACATTGAGATTGAGTAACTGATGTTTCCTACAGAGCTGCAGCTTGTGTGTGTCGACCTAGTTCCTGATGGACCCCTGACTATTATTTCAATTAGTGATCAGAAGAAGTCACTGAAGAGGTTCCTTTAATTTTTCATTACAGAGACTGAGTGTTGAGGACTGATTTTTTAGAGTTAACAACTTTATGGCACAGATACAAGAACTGTGTAGTCCATCCATTTTCTTTTCAGCTTATTGGAGACCAAGTACTCTGACTTTCATTGTCAGCTCTCAGGATATTGCGTCACGCTTATTTTTCACACAAGTTCAAATATTTAAATTTGAGTGATAGACGAATTACTTATTTGCGTTGACTTTGAATGCATCTCATCGTGCAAAAAATGTCTATATTGTCACATTTGAACTACATTTACGATCTATATCCTACAGGGAGACGTACTTCATATGTACCATATTCCTAAATCTGTTGCAGTACTCTTTGTCAACGTCTCTGACGTAGTATTTATTGTCATACAGCTATTACTGAAGAAATGATAATGAGGTCAAGGTTGTCCTCTATCCTTGCTCAAGTGAACCCTGAGACAAGTGAGAGGAACCGAAGGCCTGTGTGTTCCTGCTGATACAGATTATGCCCTGATGACTCCTCCGCCATTAGCTCCATCAGCGCTCAGGAACACACAATGAGGATGACTGAGCATCAGAGTACTCAGAACTCCATTTTGCTGCTGTGCATATATTGAAGGCTGATGCTTTTCTTGTGAAAGTGGGGAGAAAAAAAAATCTGAATGGCATCCCGTTGGTTTTATGTTTTCAACTGTCCTTCACTGTTATGTCCAGCCTCATCATAATGACTCATCAGGTCATACACAACGTGAAGTGATGCATTTCATGGCTCCTTTATATGGACCCATTATGGTCCTTTCATGAGGAGAATGCACTTCTCTGTATGAATGTGTTGCTCTTATACCTGTTTTCACACTCGGGCATCCTGGGGAATATTAAGCTATTATTCAGAGGGAAATCAGGTTATTACAATGTAAACAGGTAAAGGGACACAATCTAGTTTAATAGAAATAGCAATAAATCATGAATTACTGGAATTATGTAGGCCTTAAGTTTAATAAACTCTATTTTCTTTTTTCTGACATTTTGCCTTGAATAGAAAAAATGTCAAATAAATTAGTATGAGTGTGTTGTCCACAGAACAAGAACTAAATAAAAATAAGAAACACAACAAAGTTTGTCCTGCCATGTGTGGAGGAGGACACGAGGTCAACTGCTGAGATGTAAAGATAATAAACATAAAATATTTCAATAACCTGGTCTAGTGGACTTTAAAGCTGCAACAAAACAGTGTGAGTACAGTAACC